GAGGAAGGCCTCAAAAAATTTGTGAATTAGCATTTTTCATGATCTAGTGATAGAACCTTCTTTTTGAAAGTAAGTGCCTTCTTACAGTATTCAACTTTAACTTATGTCCCAAATCATTTAACAAATCATGGATTCTCACGCGTGCCTGGGTGGCTCAGTCGGTTAAGTGTCTGACTCTTGACTTCAGCTCACGTCATGATCTGACAGTTGTGGGTTTGAGCCCTGCATTGGGCTCTGTGCTGACAGTGTGGAGCCTGCTTGGGATTCTCTCCCTCTCTCTCTTCCCCTCCCCTGTTGGCACACTCTCTGTCAGAATAAATTTTCAAAAAATCATGGATTCTCAGAAGAAAATAGTGTGCCAAGTCATTCCTATGCATATGGCATGATGATTAAAGAGAAGTAAAGATGGGTTTAATTATTTAACCTAGAACAATAGTTGCAGAATCCTATTTAAGCATCTTTGGTCAGAATACTTCAAGCAACATCACAGAGGCATTTACATATGGGAAAACACATAAGAATGTGTTTAATGAGAACTTGAACAGTGTCAAACAGGTTGAAAATGGACATTGACAGCTTAAAAACGATCAGATTTTACATCTGAAAGGGAATATGTGGGTCATCAGGAACTTTGAGAAGACAATCTAAATTTTCATTAAAACCCAAAATCATTTTGAGAGCTTGTGTTATATGCAAATACTTTTGTTTTCCCATACTGACTAAATGAATAGAATATTAACTAACAGTCTTATTAATTAGAGCTATAGTCACATGGGGAGATTTATCCAGGTACAGGCTTTCTCCAGATGGTGTTACCGTGATGAACTTGTGATGGTTTAGGAATCGGCGCTATCACTATCCTAAAGAAAATCAAACTTGGGAATGCTAATTGACACAAGTTCACAAGAGTGACCTATATAAGTTACAGTGCAAATTCACTAATTTATAATGCAGTGTTTTCTAGTGGTTTCCTTCCTAAGACAACCTCATTTTTTTTTTATTTTTGAGAGAAAGATTGTGCGCCCAAGTGGTGGAGGGACAGAGAGAGAGGACTCAGAGGATCCCAAGCAGGCTTTGCAGCAATAGCAGTCAGCCCAATGAGGGGCTCGAACTCACAAGCCTTGAGATCATGACCCGAGCTGAAGTCGGATGCTCAACTAACTGAGCCACCCAGGCATCCCAAGACAACCCTCATTCTTTAATTTCTCACAGTTGTCTTACATACTGTTAACAGATCCTAATGTACTAAGGTCACTACTATTTTTTTAAGTATATTGAAATGGGAAATTTTGATCTACCCATCAATATTGGTCAAGATTCTCAGATATTATCATATGTCTTTAATAGAATGGGATCCAGTGAAAGAGCTCAGGTCTGGAACAAAAGATGTGGCTTCAATTTACATTTCTCCTATAAAGTACCTCTATGACTTAGAGTAAGACACTTAAACCTATCTGGTTTTAGTTATTTCATGTGTAAAATAGAGTGTTAATGATGTTTAGGGATCAAATGAAATAACATTAAAGGATCAGAGGTAAGAAACACACTATTAGAGGGCACCGGGCTGGCTCAGTTGGAAGAGCTTGTAACTCATGGTCTTCGGGTCATGAGTTTGAGCCCCATATTTGGGTGTAGATATTACTAAAAAAGTAAATTAAAAATCAGAACAAGAAAATAAGGGATCATTGACTGCCCTGTGAGTGTAAATTGTAAGTCCAGCACATCATTAATCAGAGCAGACAGGCAATCATCTGAAGGATGTGTGATGAGATGTAGTAGGATGCCTGTTAGGTAAGCTGTGATTCATAAGATCATAAACCAAAAATTTTTTTAAAAAGAAATACACTGTTGTAATACATAATTTTAATTTCACTTTAATGAAAGTAGGCCAAATGACATACTGGTTGTAGGGATCCAGATTATTGTACTACATATGTTAAAGTGTTAGGTAACAAGTATGGAATTCTTCTAAAACGTACCAAAAGATTAATAATAAGTTATACACTATTAAGGGAATATATGATACATACAATGTTATGGCAACACAGACTAAAATAAAGAGACAAATCTTATTCAAGGAGATCAGTTGCTTAGATAGTCTGACACAAAAGAGAAATTACTTCCTTGGCAAGGAGTAAGCTTTTAGTAAGAGAGGCGAAGTAAGTTTCTTTGAAGTGAATAACTAATACCCTGAATCTAATTACTATAAAATAGTACTTAACTGATAGATATTCTTTAAGTTGTGTCATTTTATTTAAAGGTCATTATACTACATTCCTGTTGGTGCTATAACAAACTGGCACAAATTTAGTGGTTTAAAACAACATAAATTCACTTTTACAATTCTGGAGGTCAGAAGTTAGAAATCAGTTTCAGTGATTCAGTTCAGTTTCTGTTTCTGACTTTTCTTGTGTCCTTCCTATTAGGACTATTGTGATTATGTTGAGCCCACATGAATAATCCAACTTGATCTTTCCATTTCAAGAGTTTTAGTTTAATCACCTCTGCAAAGTGTATTTTACCATGTAAAATAACATTTACAAATTCCAGAGATTAGGATGTGGACATATTTGGGTGCCATTATTCAGCCTGATACACTAATGAATGTGAAAAATAGTACATAGCAGTTATGCATTCTTTTCTTTTTTGCTACCTGGGCCAAATTATTCCCTACTGTCTGAACAAAGAAAATTTCTCCAATTGAAAAGAATTTAAAAATTATCCTGTATATGTATTATGCCTCAATAAACTTGAAAAAAAATTTTTTTAATTTTTATTTTTTGAGAGAGAGAGAGAGAGTATGAGCAGGGGAGGGGCAGAGAAAGAGGGAGACACAGAATCCGAAGCAGGCTCCAGGCTCTGAGCTGTCGGCACAGAGCCTGACGTGGGCCTGAACCCACGAACCTTGAGATCATGACCTGAACTGAAGTCGGACGCTTAACCGACTGAGCCACCCAGGTGCCCCTGACAAGATTATATTTTAAAAAATCTATCCAAGAAATACTATGACCCAAGATAAGCTAATTTGGCATTACTGCCAGGAAAACACTGCCAGGAAAAAAAGATGTGAAATCTTGATTATAAAAACAGAGATACTGCTGAAATGAAAACTTTATAAAACAAATAATTTCTGAATTATGTGTCCATATTTTATTTTTTATCCAAACACACTAGACCATTCTAGAATACCTAGGCATGTGCAATAACTAAGTTCACCTATCTTTGTTAGTTTATTGACTTTCAATCATAAAAACCATAGTTTACACATATTTTAAATTTGGCATTATGAAGGTATAATTTTAGGGCAGAAAGATAGAATATCACTTATGTAACAGTTTGTTAACTTCCTTTGTGAGTTCTAAAGTATTTTGACATGTCAACAAAATCCATACCAACATTCCCGTCTCCCTAAATCTGTAGATTTCTTTCCCCTACAGCAGGGACCCACAAGCTTTTTCTGTTAAAGGACCAGATAATATTTTAGGCTTTGAGAGCCATGTGGTCTCTATCACAACTATTCATTTCTGCCATTGTGGCATGAAAGCAGCCATTGACAATACATAAATAAATGAGCATAGCTGTCTTCCCATAAACCTTTATTTACAAAAACAGATGGGGCCCCAATTCCTTAGTTTGCTGACTCCCTGCCAGGAAATATCTGGCATCTCAACTTGAATGACTGTTGGCCAGTATTCAATCCAGGCTTCAGTTAACCAAGCACATTCAGATCCAATATCAGGTGCTCAATGTAACACTAAAATCTCAAATCCTGAATGAATGAAACCATATAAATATACCTGCCCTTCCTAGCCTTTATATTTTATTCTTTTTAAACAGACATGCCTAGAATCCACCTATGTTCTCTCTGACACAAATTAACAAGGCCTTACTGTTTGTTTGATGTAGTGTTCTGCTCCAGGTTCAGACAAAAGGGGGTGCATTGTGTGTACAGAATTTTATTTTTATTATTTTTTAAAATATGCAACACATGAATTTGCATGTCATCCTTGCTTAAGGGCCATGCTAATCTTCTCTATCATTCCAATTTTAGTATATGTGCTGCTGAAGTGAGCACTGTGTGTAGAGAATTTTAAAGCAATAATAAACCAACTAAATGTCTTCTTTTTATTATCACCATGTGCTGGAAATCATAAAAATGTCAGTAATAAATTCCTCCATTCTGCTGGGGGTGCTCCACCACTAGCCTCTTTTTGTTGAAATGCCACTGTTAGGTTATTTCCTCTAGGAACTGATTAGGCATTTCTCTTTGTGGGCCATGAGGAGTTTAACTCTCTCTATAAGCCTGGAGATAATGAGGGGATATGGGAGTTTCTCCGGATAAAAGGCAATCTCTTGTGATGTAACTGACCCATGTAATGCCCGAGGTCGCGAAACCCCCCCACAAGAGACCACCAGAGTCGTAAGTCAAAGCCAAGCGGCAAGGGTCGTTTACTGCAGGTTCGAACCTGGACCTCTGCGCACTCGTCGCCAGTGACGAGTAGAGGCCTCGATCAGGGTTGGTACAGCGTTTTTATAGACAGAGACAAATAGCATAGGGGAGGTTTCAAATTATGAGGGGCCTGATTAGTTGGTTTTAAAGTAAGGACATTTGTTGTTCTCTGATTGGGCGTCCTTTGTCTGTTCTTTGGCGGGAAGGCTTTGTCCGTTACTTGTGGCAGGAGGAAAAGGGGGAAGGGGGAAGGGAATAGGGGAGGAATGTGTTAAGCAAGCAGGTTTACAGAAGCGAGAAATGCCGGTTAGTTCATGTACAATCACTTATTCTATTACATACCAGACTACATTTAGGAAGTTTCACAACTTACTCTTTACATAGCGAGTTACATTCAGGAAAGGTTTCACGATGCTCGTAGCAAACAGCAAGCAAAACAGACTTCTCAGCAATTGTATTTTTTATCAAAGATCCATAATAAGCAGAAAAGAGAACTTAGCTTTAAACTAAGGCAGGGCTGTCATTTGGATTTAAAGCTGTTCTTTTCATTCCCCCCTTTTTTCTTGTGCCTAAAGAGCCAATCTTGGATCTTCAATTTTCTATTTGTAATGTCTCGAGCGGTTGGTACTGAGTTCGTAAGACCATTAATTGTATAGCATTGAACCTGTCTTGGACAAAATTAATAATTTTGTTTATGATGCAGGGGCCTAATGTGAGAGCGAGAAGTAGAATGGCCAGAGGCCCGAGTAAAGTGGAGAGCAGGGTAGTTAACCAAGGGGACGCGTTGAACCAGGATTCAAACCACCCTTATTTGTGGACCTCGGGGTAGTATTAGGCTTACTTGTGGGCCATACTGACTGGTTTGGCCCTATTAGTGTTGGTGAAGCTTTGGGTTTTATTTTTAATCTTATCTGAATAACAGTTGCAAAGTAAGGCGGTCCCCGATACAGGTAAATTCCCCAATTTAGTCCCGTAATCCATCTTGTCTCCTTTTTTCCGTCCTCTAGGAATTTGATACGAATAAGGTTACAGGCACGGGTTTGCTTGGGACAGGGGCTGGCAAATTTCATGTCAATATAATGGGGTTTTACCTCCCATTTCCAGCTTCCATCATTGGTAGTAACACAACTCCAAGCCCTACAGTAGAGGGATTCGATTCCTCCACAGGTTTTTTTCATTGCTCCTGTTCTGAACCCGGGACATGCATAAAACCCACCAGATCTTATGCGCTTTTTTTCATTTTCTGGGGTTCCGGTCCATGACGGATTAGGACGCTGGCGGCTTCCGTTGGGGGGAAGTACCCCCATGGTTACGGCTACATCCTCTAGGTTAAAATATAGATCAGGCCACCAGGCATTTAGGGGAGTATCGTCTGCTGTGGTAGTATTATAGACTTCCTGGGTTTCCAAATTAGAAACCTCCCAAGTTAAAGTATAGGGTATATGGGGGTTGCTCGCAATACTTATCAGTCCGTAGGAGGTGAGCAGGAGCACGCTAATGAGTGTTCCTTCGATCATTGTGGGTCCGGAGCTGCTGCAACAGTCTTGATATGGGATACCCAGGCCTTTGGTCTCAGCTGGTTTTCGGGGTCAGTTTTTTGACGCAGAGTCAATTTTAAAGGATGGGTCTTACTCTGGTCAACCGTCCAGGCGGTGTTGGCTTCCGGCACAAAGTCTTCTCGAACTGCAAAGGGATCAGCTGGTCGGGCGTGGGTGTAATGGATCCAGGTAGCAATCCCATCGACTTTGAGAGCAGTGGGTGTGGTTAGGATCACAATGTAGGGTCCCTTCCACCGTGGTTGGAGGGTCTCTTGCTTGTGTCTCCACACGTATACCCAATCTCCGGGTCGGTAGTGATGCGGCTCAGGAGGGGGCCCGTTCTCATAAATGGCTCTCAATCTGGGCCAAACTTCCTGGTGGGTGTGCTGGAGTTCCCTCAGGGAAATAAGAAGTTTATGATCATCAAATTCAGTTAACACATTAGACTGTAGGTTGGGAATTATAGGGGGGGGCCACTCCATACATGATTTCAAAGGGGGTTAATCCCAGTTTGTAAGGGGAGTTCCGCACCCTGAACAGAGCGTAGGGGAGTAAGACTACCCAGTTAGCGCCAGTCTCCATGGTCAATTTAGTTAAGGTCTCTTTTAGAGTTCTATTCATTCTTTCTACCTGTCCTGAGCTTTGGGGTGTATATGCACAATGTAGTTTCCAATCAGCCCCAATAAACTGCGCTATCCCTTGTATTACCTTTGAAATGAATGCTGGTCCGTTGTCTGATCCTATTAGGGTAGGGAATCCGTACCTGGGCATGATGTCTTCCAACATTTTCTTTGCTACTACCTGCGCAGTCTCATGCTTGGTGGGGAAGGCCTCTGTCCATCCTGAAAAGGTATCTATAAACACTAACAAATATTTATATCCATATTTTCCAGGCTTTACCTCGGTGAAGTCTACTTCCCAATAGGCTCCCGGCCTGGTTCCGCGGGTTCTGGAGCCAGGGTTTTTCCCGTGGTTGGTGGCATTAGTTAGTTGGCAAGCTTTACAGCTAGTAACTGCTCGATTTTTGTCCTGGAGTCTTTAATGGTGATTCTAGCATGCCTTATTAAGTCTTGCATTTTTCTTGTGCCCATATGAGTGGCTCGGTGCATCTTGGATAAGACTTTATTTCCCATTTCTTCTGGGAGAATTATGCTACAGTCTGCTGCCCTCCACCATCCGTTAAGGCACTGAGTTAAAGGTAATTTTTGAATCCAGTTTAGGTCTTCTTTAGTGTAGGCGGGATTTTCCGGTAAACTAGCTGAACCAGGGTCTGGTAGGGTGGTCATTAAAGCACAGTCCACCTGTAAGGCCACCTCTCGGGCCACCTGGTCAGCCAAATTATTTCCTCTGGCCACCGGTGTGATCGGTTTTTGGTGGCCTGGGCAATGTATGATGGCTAGTCGTTTAGGCAGCCAGAGTGCCTTTAAAAGAGCCAATATTTCTTCTTTGTTTTTGATAGTTTTCCCTCTGCAGTTAGCAGTCCTCTCTCTCTGTATATAGCTCCATGTATGTGGGCCGTAGCAAAAGCTACTATCTGCTATCGGTATACACGTTTAGTCTCTTGTCTTTTCCCAAAGTCAGTGCCTTGGTTAAGGCCACAAGTTCAGCCCGTTGGGTAGAGGTGCCAGCTGGCAAAGGCTCTGCCCAAACAGTCTCAGTTTCAGTTGTGACTGCTGCCCCCTCGTACCTTTGACCCTGATGTACAAAGCTGCTGCCGTCAGTGAACCAGGTAACCTCGGCGTCTGGTAGAGGGTGATCCTGTAAATCTTCCCGAACTCCATGAACCTGTGCCAATATCTCAGTGCAGTCATGGAGGGGGGTATCTAAGTCCGGGTCTGGACAGGGAGGCAGGGTTTAGTGTTCGGGGGGGAGCATAAATGATTCCGAGGGGATTTAATAATAGTCCCTGGTAGTGAACCAGTCGGGCGTTACTTATCCATCAGTCAGGAGGTTGTTTGAGGACTCCCTCGATGGCATGAGGGGTTGTAACATGTAACTCTTGTCCCATAGTTAACTTATCAGCATCCTTTACCATTAGAGCTGTAGCAGCGATCATATGGAGGCAAGGGGGCCAGCCAGCCGCTACTGGGTCTAGTCTTTTTGAAAGATAGGCAATGGGCCTGGGCCATGGACCAAGGAGTGGCATCAACACTGCTTTGGCTACCCCCTTATTTTCATCTACGGAGAGATGAAAGGGTTTGGAGACATCGGGGAGCCCTAAGACTGGCGCCGACAACAGGACGAGTTTAACTTGCTGGAAAGCCTGCTCAGTTTTCTCTGTCCACTCAAAGGGCGCCTGTTCTCGGGTGACCAGGTAAAGAGACTTAGCCATCTCAGCGAACCGAGGTATCCACAAGCGGCAGAACCCGGCCGATCCCTGGAATTCTCTTACCTGCTTTCGCGTTGTGGGTCGGGGGATGCGGAGGACGGTTTCCTTCCGTGCATCAGTGAGCCATCGATGGCCTTCTCTTAACAGATACCCCAAGTAGGTTACCTCGGATCTGCAAATTTGGGCTTTCTTTGCTGAAGCCCGGTACCCCAGGGCACCAAGTGTCCAGAGGAGGTTCCTGGTGCCTTGCAAGCAAGCTTCGGCAGTTTCAGCGGCGATTAAAAGATCGTCGACGTACTGCAAGAGAGTCACTTCGGGGTTTTGATTCCGGTACTCACCCAGATCCTCGTGAAGTGCCTCATCGAACAAGGTGGGTGAGTTTTTAAATCCTTGGGGGAGCCGGGTCCAGGTGAGTTGCCCATTTATGTCCCTCTCAGGGTCGGACCACTCGAAGGTGAAGAGCTCTTGGCTTTTGGGGGCCAGAGGCAGGCTGAAAAAAGCATCTTTCAAATCAAGGACAGTATACCATTGTCTTTCTGGGCTGAGGGCACTTAGGAGGGTATAGGGGTTGGGTACTGTTGGGTGTATGTCCATGACTCGGCGGTTAACTTCTCTCAGATCTTGTACTGGACAGTAGTCCGCACTGTTAGGTTTTCATACAGGCAGCAGGGGGGTGTTCCAGGCTGAATGGCAGGGACGCAAGATGCCTAAGTCTAGGAGGCGACGGATATGTGGCGTGATGCCATTTCTGGCCTCCATTGACATCGGGTATTGTCGGACCCGAACTGGATCTGCCCCCGGTTTCAGCTCTATGAATAGATCCGGGCGATGTTTAGCCAACCCCATACCCCCGGTTTCAGCCCATGCTTCTGGAAACTGCTGGAGCCAGGGCTCTATGTTTTGACTTTGTGAGGGTGGCTCCTGATGGAGTCGATATTCATCTTCTAATCTTAGAGTAAGTATGGTCATGGGTTGGTTGTGAGGGCCAGTCACTTGGGGGCCTCCTGGCGTAAAATGAATCTGGGCCCCCATTTTAGTGAGCAAGTCTCTTCCTAATAAGGGGCAGGGGCTGTCGGGGATGACTAGGAAGGAATGGGTGACCTTTCCATTTCCTAGGTCCACAGTCCTCTGGGTGGTCCAGGGATATTTTTTTATTCCGGTAGCCCCTTGGACCCAGGAAGATTTTTCAGAAATTTTTCCATGGGGTCTGATCAAGACCGAATGTTGTGCCCCTGTGTCGATTAGGAATTGAACTGGGTTCCCCTCCACTTGTAGCGTTACCCTAGGTTCGGGGAGGGGATCCGAACCCCGTCTCCCCTATTCCGCATCTTGAGTGAAGAGGGCGGGTGTGGTTTTTGGCTGCCACGGTTTTTGATTATGACGTGGCTTTTTCTTTTTAGGGCATTCTCGGGCCCAATGGCCTTTTTCTTTGCAATAGGCACATTGGTCTTTATCCAGGGGCTTTTGGACGACAGCGGCCAGGACTTTGGTCATTTTTTTCGGTAGCTTTAAGTTGCCTGTCCTCTGGAGTCTCTCTATTATTATAGACACGCTGGGCAATGCGGAGTAAGTCCTGAATCTGTTTTCCCTCCAGGTCCTCTAGTTTCTGGAGTTTCTTTTTAATATCAGTGGCTGCCTGATTTACAAAGGCCATTACAACAGCAGCTTGATTTTCGGGGGCCTCGGGGTTCATGGGGGTATACTGTCTGAAGGTTTCCATTAATCTTTCTAAATAAGCGGCAGGGCTCTCTGTCTTACCTTGTATTACTGAATACACTTTTGCCAAATTAGTGGGCTTGCGTGCAGCAGCCCGGAGACCCGCCATTAGAGTCTGGCGATAAATGCGTAGCCGTCCCCTACCTTCTGCCGTGTTGTAGTCCCAGCCATCCTGTGGAGGTCGGGTCAAGGGAAAAGCTGTATTAATGAGATCATGGTTAGCAGTGGGTTGGCCATCATCTCCAGGAACCAGCTTTCTTGCTTCCAATGGAATTCTTTCTCGCTCCTCGGTGGTGAACAGGATTCGGAGGAGTTGCTGACAATCATCCCAGGTGGGTTGGTGGGTGAACATAACGCTGTCCAGGAGAGCTATTAAATCTTTAGGGTTATCAGAAAATCGGGCATTCTGGGTTTTCCAGTTATATAGGTCACTGGTGGAGAAGGGCAAGTATTGAAGCCGGGGGTTCCCCGTATCATCGGGAGGCCCTATTTCCCATAAGGGTAGAGCTACGGTGGAGTCAGGAAGGCGGAGTCCTGGCTCATGTGGGGCCCCCCTACGGGTACGTCCAGCCGGCCCTTGGATTTCGCCCCCACTAGGCATGGGCGCGGGTTGAGCCTCCCTATTTTCTAGTTCTTCCATTGGCTCGGCTACGGGAAGCTCTGCCAGCGCAGGGGGAATGGGGTCGGGAGCAGGGATGGGGGCAGCTTGAGGAATAAGGGGGGGAATCTGGTAAGGGGGAGGGTCAAGGGAAAGTGAATCTTGGCTGTCGGGGAGAACAGGGGGTGCATTCGGAGTTTGTGGCTTGGGAGGGTTGGTAGGTTTAGCTGCTAGAATTTTGCATGGCCCTGTTGTTAAGAAAGAGGCCATCCAGGGAGGTGGGTTTTCTACTAAATCTTGCCACACCAGAATATAGGGAATCTGATCCGAGTGACCTTCTTTCCCTGGTAGGAAAATTTTTGATTTTACTTTAAGGACCACAGGGAGGCAGAAGGTTCCCTCTGTAGGCCAATTGACCCCAAAGGTGGGCCATTCAGAGCAGCAATAGGCGATCAACTTCCTTTTGGGATTGTCTAGCCTTAAGCTGTGTCCTCTAGCTCTTACATCTTTGAAATTGGTGAGGAGGAGGGAGAGAGGGGTGCTCTGCGTTTGGCCCATGTTATGATTCTGAGGAAGAGGAGAAGAGAAGGGGGCGCGGGCAGCACGGACGCGGGGGGGGGGGGCGCCGCTGGCCAGGGGGCGGCACGGAGGGGGCCCTGAAGCGGCTGAAATTAGCGGTGGAGGAGTTCGCGCAGGCGACCTCCAAGGGTGAGACCCCCAGCGGCCTGGCTGGGCCCCGGGCGGAGGGGCGGGAGGGAAAGCCGCAGGGAGCTGAGGAAGGAGGAGAGAGGAACAAAGGATGGAATAATTAATTCTGATCAGCCGAGAAAACAATTCCAATAAAGCATCCGACCCATGAAAGAAAAACAAGAACTAACAAGAATCTTTCGCAGCGGTTCCAACTTTCTGGTGCTGTTTCGGCCAACCCGGTAGAAAGGGTTACGGCTAGGATGGTTATTATTACAAAGGCCCAGGGGTGACAATACATTTAGACTGACACAGAAGCACTCGAGTACTCGTCCGTCCGCGTCCCTCGCGGGAGCTTAGGTGCCTCTTAGCATAGGCGGGCAGGTGTAAATCCCCTGCTTGGATCAAAAGATTTTGACTGCCTTAAGCCATATGAGGATCACCGCGGAAATCGGGTTAGAGCCCACTCGAATCCCGTAGCTTACGCCGTGGGACTACACATAGGGTAAGTCAGGCGCGTGCCCCTGACTCTCAACAATCATTCCAGTCAATTCAACAGACAGACACACAGACACACATCACATCAGAATACGGGTAACAATTGGCATGCCTAGGTGGTTTTTCTTTTAGACGCCTAGAGATATTTTTTTAGCACTCTGGAAGTTCATAGAGAAAATGAAAGTATTTAGTTCGCAGGCGCGTTGGGCGTAAGCAGCCCACAGAAAAGAATCCTGAGGGGCCAAAAAGGCCCCCCGATGGACCAAGAAGGTCCCCTGATGGGCCAAGAAGGCCCCCAGATGTCAGTGGACGTCTCCAACTGACCCCGGCCGGGTGCCCTATAGCGCGTCCGCCAGGGTCACACCAGCTTCCAGACAGAACCGGTTCTCCAGAGAAGAAACACAGATCAGAGAAAAGAAAGAACGTTAGAGCCGGCTTACTTACCGATCGGAATCAGATACGACCCGTTAACCAGAAGTCTGGTGGGCTCGGGGGAAATCTCGGTGGAACCTCCAAATGTAATGCCCGAGGTCGCGAAACCCCCCCACAAGAGACCACCAGAGTCGTAAGTCAAAGCCAAGCGGCAAGGGTCGTTTACTGCAGGTTCGAACCTGGACCTCTGCGCACTCGTCGCCAGTGACGAGTAGAGGCCTCGATCAGGGTTGGTACAGCGTTTTTATAGACAGAGACAAATAGCACAGGGGAGGTTTCAAATTATGAGGGGCCTGATTAGTTGGTTTTAAAGTTGTTTGTTGTTCTCTGATTGGGTGTCCTTTGTCTGTTCTTTGGCGGGAAGGCTTTGTCCGTTACTTGTGGCAGGAGGAAAAGGGGGAAGGGGGAAGGGAGTAGGGGAGGAATGTGTTAAGCAAGCAGGTTTACAGAAGCGAGAAATGCCGGTTAGTTCATGTACAATCACTTATTCTATTACATACCAGACTACATTTAGGAAGTTTCACAACTTACTCTATTACATAGCGAGTTACATTCAGGAAAGGTTTCACGATGCTCGTAGCAAACAGCAAGCAAAACAGACTTCTCAGCAATTGTATTTTTTATCAAAGATCCATAATAAGCAGAAAAGAGAACTTAGCTTTAAACTAAGGCAGGGTTGTCATTTGGATTTAAAGCTGTTCTTTTCACCCAAGAGAAATTTCTTTTTTTTTTTTTTTAAGAAAAAAGAGTTTAGCTCCATTTTTATTCAAAGAAATGCTAATTAAAATAACACTGATTCATATTCACCTATGAAACTGACAAGGAGTCTTTAAAGTTCTTATAATCATTTTTGGCAAGAATGGTATGAAATGAGGATTCCATGTGCTGTTAATGAAATTGCAATCTGGTACAGCACAATCCATTGATTACTAGCAGCTGGGAACATAATTTCTTTTTTTTTTTCCTTTTTTTTAATTTATTTTTTAATATATGAAATTTATTGTCAAATTGGTTTCCATACAACACCCAGTGCTCATCCCAAAAGGTGCCCTCCTCAATACCCATCACCCACCCTCTCCTCCCTCCCACCCCCCATCAACCCTCAGTTTGTTCTCAGTTTTTAACAGTCTGCAAGAGAAATTTCTAAAAGACTTTTATGTGATGAAAAGATTCTCAACATCACTCATCATCAGTGAAATACAAATCAAAACCACAATGAGATACCACCTCACACCAGTAAGAATGGCTAAAATTAACAACTCAGGCAACAACAGAGGCTGGTGAGGATGTGGAGAAAGAGGATCTGTTTTGCACTGCTGGTGGGAATGCAAACTGCTGCAGCCACTCTGGGAAACAGAATGGAGGTTCCTCAAAAAGTTAAAAACAGAACTACCCTATGACCCCACAATTGCACTACTAGGTATTATCCAAGGGATATAGGTGTGCTGTTTCAAAGGGGCACATGCACCCCAATGTTTGTAGCAGAGCTATTGATAATAATAGCCAAAGTATGGAAAGAACCCACATGTCCATCAACAGATAAATAAAGATGTGGTATATATATACAATGGAGTATTACTTGGCAATCAAAAATAGTGAAATCTTGCCATTTGCAACTACGTGGATGGGACTAGAGGGTATTATGCTAAGTGAAAATAGTCAGAGAAAGACAAATATATGACTTCAGACATATGGACTTTAAGATACAAAACAAATGGTCTGTGTCCCCCCCATCTCTCTGCCCCTCCCCTGCTCATGCGCTGTCTCTATCTCAAAAATAAAAACATAAAAAAAAAAAAAAAGATACAAAACAGACGGGGGAGCCTGGGTGGTTCAGTCAGTTCAGCGACTTTGGTTCAGGTCATGATCTCACCGTTCGTGGGCTCGAGCCCCGCATCAGACTCTGTGATGACAGCTCGGAGCCTGGAGCCTGCTTCGGATTCTGTGTCTGCCTCTCTCTCTGCTCCTCCCCCGCTCATATGCTCTCTCTCAAAAATAAATAAAGATTAAAAAAAATTTTTTAAGATACAAATAGATGAACAAAAGGGAAGGGAGGCAAAATTAATATAAAAACGGAGGGGGACAAAACATAAGAGACTCTTACATACAGAGAAAAAACTGAGGGTTGCTGGAAGGGTTGTGTTTGGGGGGGATGGGCTAAATGGGGAAGGGGCATTAAGGAGGAGACTTGGTGGGATGAGCACTGGGTGCTATACATAGGGGATGAATCACTGGAATCTATTCCAGAAATCATTATTGCACTACATGCTAACTAACTTGGATGTAAATTTAAAAATAAATAAAAAATAGGGGCGCCTGGGTGGCGCAGTCGGTTAAGCGTCCGACTTCAGCCAGGTCACAATCTCGCGGTCCGTGAGTTCGAGCCCCGCGTCAGGCTCTGGGCTGATGGCTCAGAGCCTGGAGCCTGTTTCTGATTCTGTGTCTCCCTCTCTCTCTGCCCCTCCTCCGTTCATGCTCTGTCTCTCTTTGTCCCAAAAATAAAAATAAAAACGTTGAAAAAAAATTTTTTTAAATAAATAAATAAATAAATAAATAAAAAATAAAAATAAATGCTCGGTGATAGTCATCACATCACTATGGTATTTAAATTCCTTTTCATACATTTAAAAGAGATACAATAATTTCAAATGTGAATATTTACAACACACTGAAAATTTAATCCTTTTAAGTCAAGATAAAAATTTTAGATGTCAACATCAAAATGTGTGAAAGTATATACATGGTTTCATAAAATATTTTTAGGTAGGGGCACCTGGGTGGCTCAGTTGGTAAAGCCTTCGACTTCGGCTTAGGTTGGTGGGTTCCAGCCTCGCGTCAGCTCTGGACTGACACCTCAGAGCCTGAGCCTACTTCCGACTCTGTGTCTCCCTCTCTCTCTGCCTGTCCCCCACTCGAGCTCTGTCTCTGTCTCAAAAATAAATAAAACATTAAAATAAATAAATACATACATACATACTTTTCTCTTTAAAAAAAGTACAATTTCTGCGAAATAAAATATCAAATAGCAACATTTATATTTGCTATAGATGCCAAAAGCCTTGGCATTTTCAATGAGATGTTTCATGCTTACTCGAGAAGTCATTTATCACAGATGTTCTAAAATGCAATCTCAAATGATTCCACTTACTGAATTGCTGCCTTTGTGTGTGAATGTATGTGTGTCTGTGTGTGTGAGAGACACACACTTTATACTATGAAAGCTATAAAAACCATACATACTTTGAGTGTGCATTCACTAAATGGAACACCAGTAAGTAATGGCCTTTGCCTTACATTATACATATCAAAAATTCTGAATCACGGCTTGGGTGGCTTGGTTGGTAAGGTGTGGGACTGTTGATTTCAGCTCAGGTCATAATCTCCCAGTACGTGGGACAGAACTCTGGGACTGGGTCCACGCTGACAGTCTGGAGCCTGCTTAGGATTTTCTTGCTCTCTCTTTTTCTGCCTCTCTCCTGCTCAAGCGCTCTCTCAAAATTAACAAACAAACAAACAAACAAACAAAGCCTTCTGAGTCCTGTGAAAAAGAAGAGGGATCCTAGGATATTTTTATGTTCAGAATAACTAGTGCTAAATACTAACGAGCATTTTGCTAGTAACTGTATTAAGTACTTTCCATAAAATACCTCATTTATTCCAGCAGGCAACTCTGTGTGGTATTATTTCCATTGCTTTATATATAAGGAAATGGAAGCTTAGAAAATTCAATTTTCTGAAACTCTAGCAGAGTCAGGAAATCTTACCATAACTGAACAGTTCGCTGCCTTCAATCACGAGAAAGTGTCAAGGAATCACATTTATTAGCACTTCAAATAATTTTTCGAAACAAGGAACATCTAACGATGCTTGACTCTTAAGACACTCCTGTCCAGGTTAGCTTGGGTCAGTGGTTCTCACGGTGTTTAACAGCTTTGTTAAATAAAGCACAGACTTGCGGAATCCCTCTCGCTCCCAGGGTGGGGTAGAGAATCAGAATTCCTAGCAAGTTCCCCGGTGCTGCTGCTGCTGCTCCGGAAGCTACGCCGTAAGAATCTTTGGTTTATGAGTTTTAATCCTAAAACCATTGGGACAAGTGTTGGTCTGGGCAGAGCGATGGTAAGTCCTAACGTGTTTCAGAAGCCTAGACTCCACTTTCTCCTGCGACAGGAACCCCAAATCATGGGCGTGCCCCGAGGCCTTGTCCGCCGCCAACTCCGCCCTGGGGTGTGGCTCCGGCCCCGCCGCGGGCCTCGGCACTCCATTGCTCTCCCCGCCAGCCTCGCCTGGCCCCGGCCCCGCCCCCCGGTGGGCCCATTGGCTCGCAAGGTCCACAAGGCGCCTCTGCCCTCACGCCCATTCCGCAGAGCTGGTCAGGCTGAGGCGCTGCTGCCGGAGCGCGGGGTGTGAGACGTGGCTCGTCGGCGGAAGAGCCATGTTGGACTTTGCCATCTTCGCCGTTACCTTCCTGCTGGCGTTGGTGGCAGCGGTGCTCTACCTCTATCCGGTAATCGCCGTCTCGGCCTCGGGGACTCTGACAGCCGCCCCAGCCTCTGTTGCCGTATCCGCGTCGCTCTGCGCGCAGTGGGCCGCAGGGAGCGGGCCTGAGAGGAGGACTCCCGCTCTCCCTTGTGTTCCTGTTCCCGCATCGCGCAGCTGCAGCTCTCGGGCACGTGACGCCTCGCGGCGTGCGCGCAGGCTGCGCTGGGAGAGCGGAGCGGGCGGCTGAAGGACCCCTCTGGCGCGCACGGCCAGGGACGCGTTGCCGCCTGAGGGCTTAGGGCCGTTCTTCTGGTCCAGCTGCCTACCTGCTCCCGGCACTGCCACGCCTCTGTCACAGGCTGCGTGAGCAGTACTTTGGGGTGACTTTTGGGCAGTAATCCTGCCAAACCCAAATTCCATTTTCCAAGGTGTCTGGGAGGAAACTTGAGGGTGCGAGAGTGCTCCACTCCTTTGTCCTTTTGAGGATTCTCCTGGATTTTTTTTTTTTTCTCCTTCGTGTCCTGCCT